TCTAATGTAGATTTATCAAAAATAACTGCAACTGCTGTCTTTCTTTGCGTAATTACTTCTGTTCCTTATTCGGAGTCGAATGAACCTGAACATTTTTTTTCCATAATATTTTTATGCAGATGCTTTATTTCATGATTTTAATGATTGATCCTTGCAATTCTTATGCAGATTTATCAAAAATAACTGCAACTGCTGTCTTTCTTTACGTAATTACTTCTGTTCCTTATTCGGAGTTGAATAAGGAATAAGGAACTGGTTCCATATTCCTTATTCGACTTTAACATTTAAAAAAAATATGTAGATGCTTTATTTCATGATTTTAATCATTGATCCTTGTAATTCTTATGCAGATTTATCAAAAATAACTGCAACTGCTGTCTTTCTTTGCGTAATAACTTCTGTTCCTTATTCGGAGTCGAATGAACCTGAACATTTTTTTTTCCAAAATATTTTTTATGCAGATGCTTTATTTCATGATTTTTATGATTGATCCTTGCAATTCTAATGCAGATTTATAAAAAATAACTGCAACTGGTGTCTTTTTTTATGTATTTCCCTCTGTTCCTTATTCGAAGTTGAATAAGGAATAAGGAACTGATTCCCTATTCCTTATTCGACTTTAACATTTTTTCAAAAAAATTATGTAGATGCTTTATTTCATTGTTTAAATGATTGATCCTTGCAATTCTAATGCAGATTTATCAATAATAATTGCAACTGCTGTTTCTTTACGTAATTACTTCTGTTCCTTATTAGGAGTCGAAAGAACCTGAACATTTTTTTCCAAAATATTTTTATGCCAATGCTTTATTTCATGATTTTTATGATTGATCTTTGCAATTCTAATGCAGATTTATCAAAAATAACTGCAACTGGTGTCTTTCTTTACGTATTTCCTTCTGTTCCTTATTCGGAGTTGAATAAGGAATAAGGAACTGGTTCCCTATTCCTTATTCGACTTTAACATTTTTTTCAAAAAAATTATGTAGATGCTTTATTTCATTGTTTAAATGATTGATCCTTGCAATTCTAATGCAGATTTATCAATAATAATTGCAACTGCTGTCTTTCTTTACGTAATTACTTCTGTTCCTTATTAGGAGTCGAAAGAACCTGAACATTTTTTTTCCAAAATATTTTTATGCCAATGCTTTATTTCATGATTTTTATGATTGATCTTTGCAATTCTAATGCAGATTTATCTAAAATAACTGCAACTGGTGTCTTTCTTTACGTATTTCCTTCTGTTCCTTATTCGGAGTTGAATAAGGAATAAGGAACTGGTTCCCTATTCCTTATTCGATTTTAACATTTTTTTGAAAATAAAATTATGTAGATGCTTTATTTCATGATTTTAATGATTGATTCTTGCAATTCTTATGCATATTTATCACAAATAACTGCAACTGGTGTTTTTCTTTACGTATTTCCTTCTGTTCCTTATTCGGAGTTGAATAAGGAATAAGGAACTGGTTCCCTATTCCTTATTCGACTTTAACATTTTTTCAAAAAAAAAATTATGTAGATGCTTTATTTCATGATTTTAATGATTGATTCTTGCAATTCTAATGCAGATTTATCAAAAATAACTGCAACTGGTGTCTTTCTTTACGTATTTTCTTTTGTTCCTTATTCGGAGTTGAATAAGGAATAAGGAACTGGTTCCCTATTCCTTATTCGACTTTAACATTTTTTCAAAACTATTTTTATGCAGATGCTTTATTTCAAGATTTTTATTATTGATCCTTGCAATTCTAAGGCAGATTTATCAAAAATAATTGCAACTGGTGTCTTTCTTAACGTATTTACTTCTGTTCCTTATTCGGAGTTGAATAAGGAATAAGGAACTGGTTCCCTATTCCTTATTCGACTTTAACATTTTTTTCAAAATAATTTATGCAGATTCTTTATGCAATAATTTGAATGAGGTATAAATTTTATTTTAAAAAAATACTTATTCTGATGTTCCTTATTTAGATTTGAATAAGGAATCAGGAACTAGTTCCTTATTCCTTATTCGAAAAAGGAATAAGGAACTGATTCCTTATTCCTTATTCGAAAAAGGAATAAGGAATAGGGAACTAACTTTATGTACATGTTTAAAAGTCCTACGTAGGACTTTCTGATAGAAACTTTATTTTTTATAGAACATTATGAAATGATACCAGGACGCTTCCGTAGAAAGTTGCTGCACAAGCCAAATAATCTGTTTTGGTATGAAATCATACCAGAGTACTTTTGGATATTTTTCACACTACAGCTATTTATAAAAAGGCTGCCGCAAAAAAAAAAAACAAGAAAAATAGAAAACCAAATTTACAACTCTTGAAAACTTAGATACATCCAATGTTAGAAACGGGTTGTAAGGAGTAATTTTGATTCAAGATTAAAGGGAATTTTTCAAGGGAAATAATTCATTCAGCGGATGTATTTGATTATATAAGAATAAGTTTCAATCCATTAATTATCTTTGTTTATATTAATTAATTAATTTATTTTATTTTATTTTCTTTCTTTTTCTTTTTGTAATTATTATTATTTTTTTCTTAATGTTAGTTACACCTGTCCTATTGGAGCCTCTCTGATAAAAAAAACTACAATGATATATACAAGGTGCGAAAAAACTCAACTATATAGAAGTTGAGTTTTTTCCCTTTTTGAATCAGTGAAAAAACTTTGGTGCTATATATCAATACAGTTGAATACGGTCACTATGGCTTTCTTATCTACGTAGAATTGCACAAATAAGTAACGAAATGTGAGATACAGAACAGAACAGAACATACCTCAAAATTGTTTACAATTACATGAGTATACAATGCAATAATAACTATAATAGTTTCATTTCACATGACATGGTACAAACAAGATATGGTATAAATGTTAATTATTGTTATTTATTTTTTGGCCAACCGTTCCCAATTGTGGTTTTATTATCTTATATATACGTGTATCATGTTGATCATATATTTCAAGACAATGATAAATTTAGAAAATATGAAAAGATTATTTAATCTAAAAACAGTTTATAAATACAAAAGCAAAAACGGTTGAAGTTCTTCGTCTTGCCTTTATGCCTAAAATAATTCAATGTTGTATCACGTCTACTAAACGAACGCCTTTAGCATTATCGGTGGTGCTCTTTTATTATTATTATTATTATTATTATTATTATTATTATTATTATTATTGGAAAATTTGGAAGATATTCATAAAAAAATCCAAAATATAAACCATAGTTCGACCTGGCGATATAGCATGTGTATTTATTTTCTGTACTCATAAGAATATATTTTGCAAGAGCATAGTTTAAAATTCTACGACCGGTTTCTCTAAAAAGGCATGTTCCATGATGGCCTCAGACCACAATTATTTCCTCTATATGTTCTATATAAACATAGTCCATGTGGCAATTTTATTAACACTCCAAGCATATCAAAGTCACCTGTGCTTATAGTATCATCCAACCTAAATTATTCCAGCTACAGCAAACTAGGGGTCATGCGGCATTTGTGCACAGCAATTCAGCTCAATATACATCAGTTTGACAGTTTTCTGTAATCAGTAGAAACCATGTGAATTATGTTAGGTAGGAAAACACTCAAAAGTATTCATTCACATAAAACCGGTTCAAATTTGGCACTTACCAGCTATTTGAAATGCACACTGTCAGAAAATGTTCTTTTTCTATCTTTTTCATTTAATTATTCACTTATATTGGGCATTAAACACATGTCATCCTTATTGTGGTTAACGGAAGGCAAATTATAATGCTTCATTTTGTATTTCAGTCATTTTAATCTCTCAGATATGAGTTAATACTTGTATTGACTACCGACAGTCCCTAATCAAAGTAAACATAGCAGCAATCATCCATTTTAGTCAGGTGTTGCATGTATACGTTTTGATGTGATAAGGCGGGAAATAACGAAAATCCATAGTTCAATCTACATTGAAACTTTTCATTTCTTTTTATTGCTCACCAACCCTTCCCCCCCACCCTTTATTATCAATACAAAAAAGTACCAATTAAAATCTTTAAAACTGTACAATTTGTTTTTCCTCGTTATATTCATATGATTGCAATGCCAAATACTTATATACATGTATGAGCAATACCAATTTTTAAAACCCTATTTAAGCGACATTTATCAATGAATTTGTCCACTAAAATGGGTTATATGTTCTTTCCTTTGTTTTTAAGGAACATCAGCGGTCCTTTTGACATTTGGATTTCCGGTGGCTAAAAGATTGTGAGAAATTATGGGGAAATATTTTGTTTATGCATAGAAAAGCAAATTTTAATCTTTTCATTTCTTTTAGAAATAACTATTTTATGGTGGTAAGAAAATAAAATGTCTTAACCGTCTTGCTATTGGAATGGGCAAATGTTTTAATCGTTTTAAAACAAGAGAGCAATATCAAGTAATTAAGGAGAGACCCGATACTTATGATTTCCTTATTTTGAAAAACTAAGATATATAACCATGCCTTTTATATTTGTTAATATATAAATCTTAATAAACTTGATAAATGGTGTATAATGTGATTACGTAAGAACATTAACACTCCTACAGATGTTAAATTCTAGATACAACATATGAGAATGAAAGAGATGCCCAGCACAGGTGAATCTCTTGTCTTTGAGCTTACAAAAATCGGGGAAGACATTTTATTTCAAGCAAGTTTTTTTTGTTTTCAGACATTATATATTATAACATGAATACGTTGAATGTGGACAAAAAAACGGATTTTTTTCTTCAAAGTTTTGATTTCAAGGACGATGTGTTATAAATTTGACAGAACAAACTAATGGTGCACCTCAATATTTCGTTATGAATAAAGTCAAATATAACGTTGTTTGACGTTTTCTTGTTTTAAGATATAAAAGTTATCAGACCAGTACAAATTATTTTGTCCTAGGGGTTAAACTATGTTAAACATTTAAAGCGGAAGGGCGATTTCAGGGCATTACTTTCTTTGATGAATACATATCAATATATATATATATATCATTTAATGTGAAGATGTGGAACAAATCTACAAATACTTTCTTATTTTGCACACTGTGTCGTAAATTTTATCTTTGTGATTTTCATATATAAAGAAGACATCAATAATTATCTATTTACGATCCGATTTTGCTTCAATCTGAATTCAAGATATTTTTGATGAATTTCCTTTGTTGTTTCAGATATCGTTTGGTAATTTTTCTCTAATATCTTTCACAGAATCTATCTTACGGATCATATCAGCAGCTTTTTTCGGCAACCATTATCACAGGGGCATTTATATTTCCCGATGTCACTGTGGGAAGTACGGATGCATCAACAACTCGCAATCCTTTAATACCTTTTACCCGAAGTTTCACGTCTACAACAGCAGTTTCATCTTCATCAGCGCCCATTTTGCACGTGCAAGAATGATGATGTACTGTAAACGCTAGGTGGCGCACGAAACATTCCCAGTAATCATCGGAGCTGAATTTGTGTTGTGAACAAAATGATAACTTCATTTGATTCATGTCAACACCAAGTTCTTTCATGGTTTTTGTTTGCATAAATCTTTCCCATAATCGTATACCTCCAATAAAATCTCCAACATCTCTTTTGTCCGTGAGATACTGAGGATCTATCAGGGGGTAGTCAAACGGATCCGAACTTTTAAGGCGTACAGTTCCTCGACTCTTTGGATTTGTTATGGACACAATAAAGTTAAAACCTTCAATGTTTCCATGTTCTGCAATAATCTCCTTAGCATAGTTGTCTTTAATGTTAAAGTAATTTTCCGCCATGTATTTACTAAATATCATTACCTGAATGTCTGCGCTTGTTCTTTTGCGTTTTGATTGGTCGTTGTAATAGAACACTGAGCCCTCAGACCCTACGATAGAAAGTGGTCCCGTGCCGAATAGATTATACTTCAATCGAGACCAGAAACTATTCAAAAGGTTTTCAGACAAGCTTATAGATTTATTTATTTTAGTTAACATCAAAGCCTTCATGTGATCCTGCATGTTATTTCCAACTGGAAGGTTAAGTAATACTGGGATATTCATCGACTCTAAATGTTCTTTTGGTCCTACACCAGATAGCATTAGGATTTGTGGGGAGTTTATCGCACCCGCCGACAAGATCACTTCTTTTCTGGCTGCAACATACGACTTTCTTCCATTTCTAACGTAAAAAACACCAAGTGCTGAAGAGTTCTTAATGTCAACTTTTGTCACAAATGTTTCTAGAACAATATCAAGATTTGCTCTTCTATCAATTCTTCCAAGGAACGCTAGTCCAGTTGCTTCCCGAACGCCGTTTCTCACAGAAATTTGAATTCTATTGAAACCCTCTTGATCAGCACCATTATAGTCCGTAATATTGAAACCAAGTTCTTGCCCAGCTTTCATGTACAGGTCTGATAATTCTGTTACAAGGGAACCTGAAACTGCCATCGGGCCGCCAGTGTGATGGTACACGGATGATTTTAATTCATCCATTTGAATGTCTTCTGATTTCAAAAAGTAAGGCAAAACGTTTTTGTAAGTCCAGCCGGTGCAGCCGTTTGCAGCCCATTGGTCATAGTCATAACGGCTCCCACGTGTGTATTGCATGGAATTTAAAACGCTCGATCCACCTAGAACTCGTCCACGAGGTACAAAACTTCTGTTCATATTTAATGCAAGACATGAGACCTTTTGAGGCACAGTGTAATATTCCCAATCATGTTTTGTATTTTGGAGCTTTAGACTGTTAATTGGAATATGAAAGTCTGGATTTTCATCGTAAAATCCACCTGCTTCTATTAAAAGAATGCGAATATTCCTATCTTCGGAAAGTCTCGAAGCCAATACAGAACCGGCCGACCCGCCGCCGACAATAACATAATCATATACGTCATCGATCTTATCTGAGAGAATGTGCCTGTGATGATTGTAATCATTAACTCTAACAAAACAATTGTAGTAGACTATAGCGATGCAAAGTACGACGATTCCCTCGGTAAATGCCATCATATCTTATGTCATTCTGAATAACAAAGATTGGAAACTTTTAAACTGTAAAATCGTTGACAAAGCAAATCTTTACAAAATGTTTAAGATCGAAGAAGATATTGATTTAAATATAAAGTCTTAGTATAATAAAAATTATATAACAGGGAAACATTTTAGGATTTACTTTCATTTTTGTTATAAAAAGGTCAATTTCTGAATAGAATGTACCTATGTAAACTGTTGATGTTCGGTGTTTAAAGACTTACGGGCTCTTTACAAAGTACAACCATCATTGACAATTATTGGCATTTGTTCTACTTTCATTTTCTTTTATGAAGTCGTCAAATGTTGAAAAAAATCTATACCGCTACATTAGATGAGACGTTAAAGCATCGCAGTGGGCACACTTATAATACTGCACATTTGTAGCGTTTATAAAACGTGTTTATGAAAAGTTCATCTTACCGTCTCAGGGAATGAAGCCTTGCTTTCCTGTTCCTGTTACAATATCATGGTTATATAATAATATTACCTTCAAACAGTGTATGTCTGTCAAATTTATTTTATTACTCCACCAGTATATACATATGAAACCAGCCTAAAATCGATCCCAGATTTCTGTTCTGTTAAGTTAAAGAAATTTGTTACTTAATATATGTGTGATAATGCATCTTTACACATTCTTATCTGTGATAAGATTCGTTAGTTACATAAGATTGTGAATAGGGAATAGTGTATAGCCTGTTCAATATACATGCAAGTACTCATTACATTGGTATATACTACCAGTTAATTATCTGGTAAAACATATTAGACCCAATCGAAACGATAATATGTATAACATACGCATGTTTTCTTAATAATAAGTTATTGGATTTCAGAAGTTAAAAATATCACGGTTATATATTCATACAGTTTAAATAAGAGGCGGTTTAAAATTAAAAAGCAGTACTTAGAGGATTTTGATCTCAACAATGTACTTTATCCTTCTGCTACAGTAGCGCATCAGCATAGGCGCAACCATGATTTTCGGACCAAGTCTACCAAAATCCAGTGAACATCACATGTAAGTTATAAGAAAATATACATGCAAATCATACTATAAACAATGACAAGTATTTTAAGTTATTCGTTAAGTGCTCTCTGGTTAGGATATTTTCATTTTTTTACAGGAAGTGAATTCGCCCTCAGATATTCTTTAGCTAAACAAACTTTAATCTAAAAAAAAAAACAGTATTATTTGAATTTCAAGAATTGATAATCCTGAATTTTTATTAGCTCTCAGAATATTGATAAATTCTTAAAACCCAACCAAGATTTTTGTTTCAAGTGAAGAAGTCATTATTGATAGTCAAGATACAAATACTAATTTAAAGCATTTATTCACACAAAGTGTTTTTCTAAACGCTGGTAAAGATTTCTTTGGAAGTCATGTTATTTCAATTCTATCAAAGATTCTTAATTACTTACTAATTCAAAATATACTTAAATTCTTTTAATGTATGTGTACTATGACGTTAAAACTTCAAAATAAATGGCATGTCTTACAAATACATTTATATAATGATGGCCTTCATTTCTACGTATATATTGATGAGCAGTTGAGAAAAGCTGGATGTGCTGTCTGCGTTCTATCTAAATGTGTCACTGGCATTAAGTTGTACATGCGCTTGATAACCATTTCGGTATTGTGAGCATTCGTGCAAGGGCAAAGTTTCTTGAACCGTTTACTGCCAACAACATCCTATCAGATCCGAACAAGTTGTTTGAATGTTTGACCTTAGCCTTTACCCGCAGTTATTGCATGAGGGCGCTAAAAGCTATATGTGGCGATTGTTATGGGATATTATTGTCCCCCGCCTTTTCGAAGAAAAAAGGGGGGTATAGAAATAGGCTCCGTCCGTCCGTTTTTCCGTCCGTTCGTCCGTCACACTTTCGTGTCTGGTCCTTAACTTTGTCATTTATCAAAGAAATTTGAAACAACTTGGCACAGTTTTGTTTGTTATAATAAGACGATTTGTCATATGCAACAACCAGACCTCTACCTCCGAGGTCAATGTTGCACTTGCTCATTCAAGGTCAACATTGTATATTTGAGGGTAAATGTCGTATCCGGTCCATTACTTTCTTATCTTTAAAGGGATTTTGTAAATATTTGCAACAATTGTTCACAATATTGAGACGATGTGTTATGCACAAAAACAGGTCACCTACCTCCAAGGTCAAGGTCACACTTGAAGGTCAAAGATTAACACAGTCTGTTATAGGGTATATTTTGTGTCCGATCTAGAACTTTCCAATAACTTGGCACAAATAGTCACAATAATACAACGATATGTCAAGTACAACACCTGCTTCCCTACCTTCAAGGTCAGAGTCACACTTAGAGGTCAAAGGTTAACAGAGTCTGTTATATGGTATATTTTGTGTCCCGTCCACAACTTCTTAATAGATCAAGGGATTTTGACAAACCTTTGCACAAATAGTCACAATAAGATGATATGTCATGCGTAACACCTGTGTCCCTACCTCCAAGGTCAGGATCACACTTAGAGGTCAAAGATTTACGTAGTCTGTTATAGGATTTGTTTTGTGTCCAGTCCATAACTTTTTCATAGATGAAGGGATTTAAAAATACTTTGCATAAATAATCACAATAAAAAGACGTCAGACGCAAAACATGGGTCCCTACCTACAAAGTCACACTTAGAGGTAAAGGATTAACATAGTCTGTTATATGGTATATTTTGTGTCCGATCTATAACTTCGTCATAGTTCATGGGATTTTGAAAATACTTGGCACAAATAGTAAACAATATTAATAATAATAATAATAATAATTCATGTCAACATCTGCATCCCTATCACAAAGGTCAAGGTCACACTTAGAGGTCAAAGCTTAACATGAAATATTCTTAAATTTCGTGTTTCGTTTTATTTCTTTAATAATTTAATTGTTGCATTTGCAGATCTAGCATTGATCATAATTTTGAACTGAAAGTCCTGAGATCCATACAAAAATCTTTTGAAATAGCACAATTGTATGCTTCATTAAAAAACTTCTCCGAGGTGGGAGACGTTGGTATCTCTGTTACAAATTCTAGTTTAAACATTACTTTCGCAAATAAGTATAATATTTTTTATTTTAAAAGTGATTTTGATTGGAGCACGAATGGGCCTAGTGGTAGTTTAAAGAACATAATCATAGTTGTTAAAAACTACATAGAATAAGAGAAAGATAGTTGTAAAGCAGACAGATTTCTCGCAATAATAGCAACTTTAATATCTGACTAATATCAGATAGATGTATACAAAATTAATCCCGTCGTATGGCAGAAGTAAAAGTGTACATATAAATACGTATAATGTGAGACGTTAAAATATCAAATTATTGAAAAGAAAGCTGGTTAAACGAAATGCATACAAAACTGGTCGACTTTAGAACTTATGGTCACAATTATTTTCATGGAAAGAAACATGCGCCATGCCAATGTGGACATTGTGGTTTCAATTTTTAATGTGACAACACCACTTATTATTTTCAACAATAAAGGGCTCATATAGTAACTATTTGTTTTGTTTACAGATTAACATTATGACAGGAAATATGTGAAATCCTGTGATTTCTTTGCAGATCGCATAGCAATTTGGTAAATAATATTCGTACATGGAAAATGTAATATAGATAACATATACTAATAAATATAGCCATTGAATGAAGATAGTTACTTATAAAATGAAATAAAATATATATTTATTATAATTGCATGTTTAAACAATATTCATTTTAATATTGTACTAACCTTCTGTTCATGACTTACACTAACAGTACATCAAAGCAAAATAAATACATATATCTTGTCATATTCTTCCTTCATTTATAACTACACTAGATGTCTTTCTTTTTTATTTATACATAGAACTTTTCATCAATTAAATAAAACAATGCTAATAAATAAACGACCGTTTACGGCAAAATAAAACATCCGCCTCCTCTTTCGCTTGCTCTTTTCTGGAAAGCTTATAAATTACTAAATATTGTTGTTTTAAACTTGCGATTGTTTCAGATATCGTTTAGCATTTTTCTCTAATATCTTTCACAGAATCTATTCCGCGTATCATATCAGCAGCTTTTTCGGCAACCATTATCACTGGGGCATTTATATTTCCCGATGTCACTGTTGGAAATACGGATGCATCTACAACTCGCAATCCTTTTATACCCTTTACCCGAAGTTTTGAGTCTACAACAGCAGTTTCATCTTCATCAGCACCCATTTTGCACGTGGATGAATGATGATATACTGTAATCGCTAGGTGGCGCACGAAACATTCCCGAGTATCATCGGAGCGGAACTTGTGTTGTGAACAAAATGACAACTTCATTTGATTCATGTCAACACCAAGTTCTTTCATGGTTTTTGTTTGCATAAACCTTTCCATAGTCGGAATACCTCCTATAAAATTTTCAACATACTCTTTTTGTCCGTGAGATACTGAGGATCTATCAGGGGGTAGTCGAACGGATCCGAACTTTTAAGGCGATACAGTTCTTCGACTCTTTGGATTTGTTTATGGAAACAATAAAGTTGAACCCCTCTATGTTCCCATGTTCTGCTAAAAATTCCTTAGCGACACTGTCTTTTATGTTAAAGCAATTTTCAGCTATATATTTACTGTATATCATGATCTGAACGTCTGCACTTGCTTGTCTACGTTTTGACTGGTCGTTGTAATAAAACGCTGAACCTTCAGATCCTGCTATGAAAGAGTCCTGTGCCAAATAAGTAGTACCTCAATCGGGTCCAGAGGGAAACTGTTCATGAGGTCATCAGACAAGCTAATTTGTTTATTTTTATCTTAGTTAACATGTACGCCATCAGGTGATCCTGCAAGTTGTTTCCAACTGGGAGGTCAAGTAATACTGGGATATCCATTAGACTTAGATGTTCCTCTGGCCCCTACACCGGATAGCATAAGATCTGTGGCGAAATTGATTAGCACCAGCCGACAAAATGACTTCTTTTTTGCTTCTGACGTTATGACTTTTTACCATTTTTTCTAACGTAAAACACACCATTCAGCTGCCTTTGTATTCTTGATATTAACTTTTGTGACAAATGTTTCATAACAATATCAAGATTTGATCTTTTTACCAATTCGTCCAAGAAACGTCTAATCCAGTTGCGTCACGAACGCCATTTCTGACGTTTAATTGCATTCTTGTATTGAAACCCTCTTGATCAGCACCGTTATAGTTCCGAATATTAAAACCCAGTCTTGTCGCAGCTTTCATGTACAGGTCTGGACAGTTCTGTTATACTGTGAACCTGAAACCGCCAATGGACCACCACGAGCGATGGAAACGTGGATGATTTCAATTCGTCTATTTGTATGTCCTCTGATTTCAGAAAAGTTATGGCAGAACGGCTTTTGTAACTCCAACCAATGCAACCGTTTGCAGCCCATTCGTTATAGTCATACGACCTTCCGCGTGTAGTATTGCATAGCATTTTAAAAGACGCTCGATCACGAGAACGCGACCACGGGGCAAATAGCCACTTGTTTTTGTTACATCCTAGGCATGAAAACCGTTTGAGGGTACAGTGTAATACTTCCCAATCATGTTTGTATTTTTGAAGACTTCAGAATTTTATTGGAATGTGGAAAGTTTGGATTTTCATCATAAAATCCTCCAGCTTCTAATTAAAAGAACGCCGAATATTCCTATCCTCGGAAAGTCTAGAGCTAAAACAGGAACCTGCTCGACCCCCCGCGACAATTACTTAATCATATATCGTCTTCAATTTCATCTGAGAGTATCTCCTGTGACGATTGTAGTCAATTTCAAGTTATAATAGTAACTATAGCGATGCAAATTACGAGGATTCCGCTGAGTTAATGCCATTCATTACTTATGACACATTCTAAAAATAAATATGGGAATATTTTTAAACTGAATAAACAGCCTAATCAATTCCTTTAAGATGTAAAAACGGAAAAAAATGATTACCTATTTATCTAGTATCGTCATGTATGGCATTTAAATTTAGAAAAAACTGTTCATACGGTAGCTTGTTGAAGTTTTATAAACTATCCTTTCATAAAAACAAACTTTTCTTATATGCATTTTCTCATTTTCATTGTTGTTTGCTTAAATTAAGACATCAACTGCTGAACATTCTACCTCTATTTTGTATGATGAGTTGTGAAATCGACTTTGTTAAAAAAATCTGTGTGTGTTCCTTGCATTCTTTTTTATAGCGAACTCACTTGGACATTACTACTTTGTTCTTAATACAGTATATGTGTTAAAAGTCAAGGTGTAATCGTGTTTCTACTTAAATTATTCTAACATTTACTTTACCGCTACAATTTATGAGACGTTGTTATTTATTGCACTATTGCCCTTTACAATATATTCAAATATATAGAGCTGCACATTTGTAATCTCGTTCATATTTATATAGTCGCGAGTTTGATATAATCTATATAGACCGTCGATTGCATAATTTTTAAACCTCCCCCCTCTTAGACAAATGCAAAGGATATTCGTGCAGCATTATATAAATTCAATAATTATGCTAATGAAATTGCGCCAGACCGAAAAACTCGTTCCCACTGATTACCTTAGCGGGGCTGACGGCGCTTAGCAGTAAACATTTTAAGTTATAGAGATAAGTTAACAAATGTGTAAGCAAACATTTTACAGAGGGAAGGGTTCTGACCTATGAGATGCCTGCTTGTGTCTCGCTTACATGTCAACCTTAGGAATAGAATTTGACGTGTTTTTTTTTTCTTTCTTACAAAAAAGGTCCGTAACAGTTTTGATACGGTTTGCTTGGGTATAAGATTTGAATGTTAATTGATTTTAATAATCTTTTAACGCCGTTAACTCGCAATTATGTATGTCACTGCGAAACTTTAAGTTTTGAGTGTTAAGTCGTGGTATTTTTACAACAGTGCAACCAGATCTTTTACTAGGGACATTCTCGGACAACCCAACGATTCTAGTTCTATTTTCTTTAAGAGTAATCTATTCCAAATTAAGTTGTAGATTGCTCAAAACAATGATGTAGAATATCGAAGCTGGTTGAGCATATTTTCACGCGGCAACGAGCGAAAATTTGGATAACTTGTTATTATATATAGTATGTTTTTATGGATAACCAGTAGGTTCGATTTTTAAATGATATTTATTATTTTTGAATGATTTTATTCATATCATTTTGTTTTTTCGTGGGGTTGTAAAGTGTTCTGGGATGGGGTACTAGTTACCGACTAAGTTATGTGCTGTATCCCTGTTTGTTTTAATCTCCGTTAGACAAAATAAAATCAACATTTTGATATGATAAAAAAAGAGAATCTCCGATTTCTGATAGTTTTGTGAAAAATGACTTTCAAACAAAATCTTACAATTTAACAACGTTAAAGTCGGATAGGAAATTGATTATGATAAAATTGCTTATAGACCTTTTTACAATACGATTCTTCCATAGTAACCGATGTTGCATTTCGCGCATGCATTCTGCGTAGGGCAAAAGCGCAGTAATATTGAGAAAATTGTGATATTTTTAGGCTTTTATAGTCGTGATTTCATGTTATGTCAACCAGAAAACAGTAATTTTTGGATGACTTAAAGCGGTAAGTACTCAAAACTTTATAACAGATATAATAAATATGCGGGACTAATAATCCAATGGTCAAAAGGCGCACACAAAAGTTGTCTGTTTAAGGTATCATTAGACGACTTTTTCATTTTTCATCTGTTATTTAAATTTAAACAGTAGCGTGTTAAAGATTAAATTTTATTACCCCTGTATTACATAATATTACACAATGTGTATTGGATTGGCCAGACAGATTGACACGCGACACGGTTGTTTGTTTCCATCTATAATATCATTCAACAGGGACGTTTCAGTACCATGACATAGTTAATCACGTACAATTATGAAAATCGTAATTTAAGTAACTTTTATATATACCGATCTCATCAATGTTTATTGATTTTGAGAAATGACAATTAGTGTGACTTGCATTAAAAATATTAACAGGTGTTACGAGGAACCGGATAAAATGTGTGTTATTTCACTTTCTTTAAAGATTTTGAAAAAAAATCACTATTTAAAATATATTTATGTGACTTAAAAATTATCTGGTTTGCATCACAGTCAAATAAAGGATAAAATCCGGTAAACTTAACACTAAAAATGCATTATCACCGTGTCTGTTCTGACTTTTTGCAGAATGATAATTAACCTCGATTTCATATGTTATAAAATTTCTTTTATCTTTTTATGAACTATTTCAACAACAATTTAGTGGACTCCCATTTGAATAATAGATATAATTCCACATATTCTTAAAAAATCTCAATGTCAGGTCCGTGACCGTAAGGGGAATCTTAAACAATTTCCTTTTCCATGCCTTTGTATCGCAATCTTGGCCACAAAGCTATAAATGAATCTTTTCTATTTTTGTTAAAGCTAATTTTGTAATTTTCTACCTTTTACTTTAAACTAACTCGGAATCGTCTATGGATTTCTTCTATATTTCTACGTTATGCTATGCATTTTTTGCCCTACGCAGATTGCGCTGGCGCGGGAAAAAGCTACTTCCGATCGATTTTTCATAGTAACGGACCGCGTTGTAAAAAGGTCTATAAAATAGCGTCTTATTACTAAGACTATGAACATTAAGATATTTTTTCTTTCCTTTTATTATACTACAACTTTTATTATACTACAATAAAATGTAACTGAGGGGCAGTCCACAGTTGCCGTTAGTTGTTCGAGAATAATATATTTATAGCAATCCACGCACAATGTACTTTAATTTAGATATACATGTATGGTATTATAGTTAACCTTAAAAATATAAAAATAAATACATGTTATTAAAAAATGGCCAGCAGTATTATGAACGCTTACTACAGTACTATTGTATACCTTACATAAATATTTTCCTTATTTTTATTTGTTTGGGTCGTCAAACTAAAGAAATAATGGTAGCGAAATTTCAGACTCTGATGCTGTTAATTGCAAATGCCGAAAGTAGTCCGCTTTTTTTGAAGCGGTTACTTCCCTTTATATGTACACTAACGCCGAAAAATTCAGGGGTGATCACTGCGTAAAGATTGTCAAATGACAGGCGCATTAATTTTCAAGCAAAATAGATCCCGAATGGTCGAAGATTTCTAATATTGTTTTATCCTTTATAGATATACATGCTTATAGTAGGCTCCATGATTATTGACATCTGTGTTAAACAACAGTTAGCGTCGAAATAATAAGGGTTACAAACCCTTATTTAGAATAATATGGTTTTCTTCAGGGTTAATATATAACTTTACCGTGGCCGAGGGGTTTGCACGCTCGCTTAGGAAGCGAGATGTCTGGAGTTCAA